CAGGCGGGTCCCTGGAGGGATGGGGAACAGGGGTTAAGTCCTGGGAAGATGGGGGACCCAGGGGACAGCACACCTGGTGGTGACCTTGCTTGTCCCAGTTCCCTGGGAGGTGAGGACCTCTGAGGATCTCTGCTCTGAGCTGAGAAATGAGCTCCCAGGCCGAGCTGGGTGTGGATCCTAGGAGAGCCCCCTCTGCTTTGGCCCCGACCCAGCAATTGGCCGGTTCTGTCCAGGGCAGGAGGCCTCAAAGTGCCTGGAGTTAATTGCTCCCCTGGGTGGGGGCAGGGTGGGGTGGGTAGGGAGAGCCCAGCCCAGGGGCTGCGGCTCCCGCCCATCCCCTCCCCACAACACACCCCAGCCTGCCCATTCCCAGAGCTGTGGGACTCTGGACCGTCACACCCTGCCCAGCCCCCACCAGTGCTGGCTCCAGCATGGCACTGCCCATCCCCCGGAGCTCTGCCACCATCCCCTGGTACTCAGCCCTGGCTCTGTCCCTCAGGGGCCATGCTGATGGCCATCCGGCTGCGGGGCATGGATCCGGACGAGACGCTGGCTCTGACCCAGGAGATGGCGGTGTCGGGAAGGGTCCTGGAGTGGCCCGACAGCTGGCAGAGGCTCCTGGTCGACAAACATTCCACGGGGGGCGTGGGAGACAAGGTCAGCCTGCCCCTGGCCCCGGCCCTGGCTGCCTGCGGCTGTAAGGTGAGTGCCAGGCCCGGCAGTCTCTGCTCCCTGGGCAGAGGTCTGAGTGGGGCCTGGGTGTTCACGGAGACCCCAAGCGCCTGCCCGGGTCCCCTAGCCCATAGCCATGCCTGGAAGGGCGGAGATGAAAGCGGGTGTGCTGGGAACCAGGAGAGGCCTGTGTCTCCCAGCAGGTGGGGCTGGCAGTGTGATAGTGGGTACACCCAGGTGCCCTGCTGCTGGCCTGGGTCTGCCATTGTGCGGCTGCCAGCAGAGATGGGGGCCCTGGCAGAGTCTCTGCCCGGTGTGGGTTCCCTTCGGCACCAAGGGGATCATCCCTCCACATCTGCCCTGCCTAGCTGCCTCTCACCAGGGCCTGTGGCCTTCTCCTCCCCCGCCAGGTGCCCATGATCAGTGGCCGGGGACTGGGCCATACCGGGGGCACGCTGGACAAGTTGGAGTCCGTGCCAGGGTTCAACGTCTCTCAGAGCCCCGAGCAGGTGAGGGGGCCGCCGCAGGAGCTGGGTCGGTGCCAGGGGAGGGAGACCCGAGGGCCTGCCTGGTATTGTGCTGCCCCCAGTCCAGTGCCCCCTGCCTCTGGAACAATGGGAGGGGGCACAGAGCAAGCCCATAGGGGCTCAGCACATGAAAGGGGCATCTGATGGAGGCAGGGGGAGACCTGAGCCGGGGGAGAGCCAATCAGTGCCTTGGCGCTCCCCTCATCCAGGTTTCTCACTGAGCCTCAGACAGCTGGGCATCCTGCACCCAGTGCCTCTGCCCATCACCGGGGGTGGGCGGCCGGGCTCTGCCCACCTCCTGGCACAAGCCAGCTGCTTTGCACTTGGCTGTTGCCCAGAAAGGGCCCTGCTGGGGTAACTGGCCGCACCTGGCTCTAGGGGGCACATGGGGTCACACACTGATGGCCCCTCCCCGCTCCTGCAGATGAGGTGCATCCTGGAACAGGTGGGGTGCTGCATCGTGGGGCAAAGCGAGGAGCTGGTCCCGGCGGACAAGGTGCTCTACGCCCTGCGGGATGTCACGGCCACCGTCGACAGCCTGCCCCTCATCACAGGTACCACGGCAGCTGCCCCCGCGCCGCTGCCAGGCTGCATCCCCGGGGCCATGGCAGGGGGCGGAGGAAAGTGGGGTGGCACCGAGGGGGCAGGCGTCCCTGGAATCCACACTGAGGCTGCCCCCTTGGGGTGGCAGAGCCCGCAAGAGGCAGTGGGAGCCAGCGCTCTGCACCCGGTCAGCAATGTCTGAGATCCGGGGATGGGGGGCTGGGAATGGTGAGGGCCCTGGGGGACCCAGAAGGCTGCCACGTTCGGAGAGAAGAGAGCTGACCTCTCACCCCAAAGTCCAGCCTCCATCAGCCCCAGTGTGACCTCCTTCCCCTTGGGCTGGCTCAGAGCGAGGAGCTCACTCCTTGTGCCGTGCGTGGCGTCGCTGCCCAGCAGCGGGTCGGCCAGCGGAGGGTGCCAGGGATTTGGGGGAGCGGAAATCAAGGCAGGGCGTTGCAGCAGTCCCCGGAGCAGCAAGCTCCTGGCACAGGGCCCAGCCTTGCCCGCGGGATCCCTCCGACAGGAGCTGAGCCGAGGCGGCTGTGCCAGCAGCGCCCTGCCCCAGCAAGGGAGGTGCCCAGGACTCCCCATCTCTGAGCCGGCTCCCCCTGGCTCTGCAGCTTCCATTCTGAGCAAGAAGGCAGCAGAGAAGGTCTCGGCCCTGGTGCTGGACGTGAAGTTCGGCAGCGCTGCCCTCTACACCAGTCTGGACAGCGCCCGGACCCTGGCCCAGAGCCTGGTGAGCGGCCCAGACCCGACAACCTTGGGGGAGGGGGCACAGCCATCCCCACCCACCCCAGGAGCCCCAAGTGGCCTGGTCCCTCCCTACTCTGCCTGCAGGGGCCTCCTGTCCCCCCACCATCCCTGTGCTGACTGGCCTCCCCTGCCCTCTCTCTATGGGGCTAGAGGCCTCCCGCAGGTCCCTGACACCGGGAGCAGTGCCCGGTTCCCATGCTTGTGCCACAGGGGCAGGCAGCCTGTGCCCTGGCACAAGGGGAGCTGGGACGTGCCTGTCACTCCAAGACAACCCCCAGAGGAAGGTCTGTGTTCTTCCCGGGGAGCCGTCTGCCATGAGCAGCAGGAGGGGGAGGCCAGGCGGGGCCGGGCAGGAAGGGAGGGGTGCTGGGACCATGAGCCAGCAGCACAGTCTGCAGCCCCTGTGAGATGGTGACGCAGGGTGGGAGCTGCCCCTC